ATTCAACGATCACGATTATCGACACAGACAAAGAAATGAGTGTAAACCAGGAAGAGGATAGGACAGGACGCCTGGAAAGGAAGGAGACGCAAACTCAGGAGCTAGACCAGACGGGTTACTCTCTCCCTGTGTATGGCACTGAGATCCAGTCTCAAGAAACAAGGACCAAGGAACTCAAGGAAGGCTATAGTCAACCTTCCACCTCCTTCTTTAAAAAGCCAGGCCCGAGGTCGTACAAAGGAAGGATGGCGGACCGTCTTAGCGTGGACTCATCCGCGATGGATACAGAAACTTACGAGATCAGCTCGTCGGATAGCGACGTGACTGATTACGGGAGGAATAAGGAAAAAAGGGCGGTCATTGAAGATGATTCTGACGCGTCACCCCCTGAGAAGGTAAACATCGGCAGCAAAGGACCTCAAAGAATTACTGGAAACAGAAAGAGAAAGAGGATAGTCTCCGATGCGGACTCCGATTACAGGAGGAGCAGAACTACGGGAGACTACGTCGGTAGGAGAGAGGCTATACTCCGGTACAATGAGGCTAAGGAGGAGGCCCTACAGCTAGATAGGGAAAAATTAATACGGGAGTATAGCGAGGCAGAACTCTTTAAAAAGGCTAAAATCGACCTGGTCAATGTCAAGGAAACGCTGGAGGAAAACTCGATCGAGGAACTGGTAACTAAAGCCAGCGGTAATTGCGCCGAAGTCCTCAGAATTGCGAGATCCTCCAGTAACCTCAAGGGGACGTTCCAAAAAAATTTGAAGATTGCAGCAGCAACATCCTTGGGGATCGTCGACATCTTGAAAGAGAGAGCTACTCTCTCGAAGGAGGCAAAGTCGCAAGAGATCAGATCGCTCAAACGAGAAATCTCCAGACTGAAACTAAAACTGGAAGAAGAAATAGAGAGAGAGAGAAGAAAGGCCCTGCAGGCGGCAGGAGAAGCAGAGGCATATAGGTCCGAACTGCAGGCGCTTAAGAAGGACAAACAGGAAAAAAGAAAAGATAAGACACCTAGTCCTAAAGATAAGGATAAGGACCAAAACAAAGGGAAGTCAACATCAAAGTCTTCTTCGGAGACCCCTAAGAAGCCTAACACCAGGAGAATTCCTTCCGCAAATATAAAGGCGAGAGACAAACTGATCACATCTGAATCAGAACATATGGAGGTCGACGATAAATCTCCGAAGTCTAAAAAAGTCACATTAGATGACCCGAAGAAATGGCCTGAAGTAAGGAGACCCACACTATGTGGGAAAAGGAAGATCATCGAGGAGGATCCTACTTCACAAAGGACAATATACGAGGCTCATAAGAAGTACTTCGCAGAGTCTCAAAAAGAAAGTGGAGAAAAAAGTCAATCTACCAAGGAAGGAAAAGAAGGACACAAAAGCAGGAGAAATATCTTAGGCATGGACACCTCCGAGTTGGCAAACATGATAAGAGACATCGTGGCAAAGGAGCTGGAAAGACACAACAGTAAAAAACCGAGGATTACAGAAATTCAAACTTTTAAAGAACCTATAATCACGGTTAAAGAAGCAGGAAATCTAGTAAACAAAAACAAGCTGGTAAAGGAAGACTACAAAAGTTACAAAATCAACACCAGGGAGACCCCGAAAAAGGGAGTAGAAAAAGAAAGGAAGAGAACCCTAACGGCGGAAGAGGAAACGGACCGGGAGGAGAAAGAACTTCCTTGGAGCAAGGTAATAGGGAGAAAGGAGAAAAAGGCAAACAAAACGGGTAAACCGCCCGTTTATGGAGCCAAAAATCCCACTATGACCTCAACTCCGGCTAAAACCATAAAGCCAGCACGTACGGAGAGAAACAAGAATAGAAGAGCTCCCAAAACAGCCGCTATCCAAATCAGTTGTCGCGGAGAAGCTAGCTATGCAGACGTAATGCGTGTAGCCAAGGAAAAGGTGGACATAGACGCTCTGGGAATTCATGATGTAAGACCCAGAAAATCTAGATCCGGGGCGCTGCTTCTAGAAATCCCAGGAGCAGAAGGAGGCAGTAAAGCGGACAAACTCGCAGAGAGGCTAAAAACAGCGCTAGAGGGCCAGGAAGACGTACTAATAACAAGACCGGAAAAAACGGCAGAGGTCAGGATAAAAGATTTAGAGGAATCAACAACGAAGGAAGACGTTCTGTTGACTCTCACTCTATTAGGGAGCTGCCCCAAAAGGGCCTTTAAAATGAGGGAAATAATCCCGTCATTTAACGGCCTAGGAACACTATGGGTTCGATGCCCGCTGGCTATAGCCAAAAATATCACAAAGAATAAAAGGATAAGAATTGGCTGGACCACAGTGAGGGTTGAACTTCTCCCCGAAAGAGCTATGCTATGCTACAAGTGTCTGGAACCCGGGCATATTAAAAAGCATTGCTGCAACGAGATAGATAGAAGCACTTTATGCTACAGGTGCGGCCTTCCCGGCCACATGGCAAAAGGATGCACGGAGCAAGCATTCTGCCCAATCTGCGCAGCCAAGAACATAAAAGCTACACACAGAATGGGCGGTCCAGCCTGCAAACCCCCGGTTTCCAAAGGAAAGACTAAAAAGGAGGATAGAATTAGTAAAAAGGATTCTGCTCAAGGACAGAATAAAAACAGGGAGAATTCGAAAATGGACGTAGAGGAAAATCCACAGAAACTCCCTCAAACAGAGGAGAGAAAAGAGAGAGAAGCCAGCGTCATCAGACAACTAGCTAAATGTAGCGTCAAAGAAGGAAGCAAATCCGAAGACACTCGAGTCTTAGAGGAAATGGAAATCGAGGAGAATAGGATGGAAAGTTCGCTCGGCAACCAACCATCACAAGCACAGTCGGAATGGCCAGAGCTGGGTCACGAATGGACCAAGACCACTCAGGACGTACCGGGAAATGTAGACAAAGGAGAAGGAGGACTCCAACATACTGACAACAATAATGAATAATAAGATCCTCCAAGCAAACATAAATCACTCCAGGGATGGACACGAAGTTTTATTACAAACCATGACAGAAGGAGAATTTGCGGTAGCGGTGATATCGGAACCGTACAAGATACCGTTAAATCACCCACACTGGACCGGAAATGCCGACAAATCGGTCACAATAACATGGAGGCGTACTCACAACCCAATGCCATGTACACCGCTAAAAAGTGGCAAGCACTATGCTTCGATAAGGTGGGGCGATATGATCCCGTTTGGTACATATCTTCCCCCTAGTCTGGATGTGAGACAATTCGAGGAAGCACTCGAAGAAATGGAGGAAGAGATCTTACAAATGGATAACTCTCCGTTATACGTTATGGGAGACTTCAACTCCAAAGCTGCCCTGTGGCAATCAAAGACCACAGACGTACGCGGCAAGATTGTTGTAGAATGGGCAAGCCGCCCAGGGATATGCTGCCTCAACCATGGAGGAAGAAGCACATGCGTTAGACATACAGGGGAATCGATAGTCGATCTTTCATTTGCTTCTCCAGTAGCAGCCAGAAGAGTGGTATCATGGAAAGTCTCAGATCGAGAGAGCAAAACAGATCACAGATACATCGAGATCAAGATCAGTAACACCAGGATGCAAAGAACGAAAGAGCGTCTTCCGCAACCCAAGAGATGGGCAGTCAAACAAATGAACAAAGATATGTTATCAGCAGCTATAATAGCCAGATGCTGGCCTAAACATATCATGGCTGAGGAACTACTAGGAGAGGAGATCGAAGAGACGGCTAAAAGACTCCAAGGAACTATGATAGATGCCTGCAACATAGCCATGCCGAAATCTGGAACCAGAATGCGAAAAGCCATGCCGTGGTGGTCCGCAGAACTAGACCTACTGAGGGCAGATCTTTCCACAGCTCGAAGGAGATTAAGAAGACTGAGAAGAAGAAGCAACTAGGACGATGAGGAACTCCAATGGAGAATACATGAGTTCAGATTAGCAAGAGACATCTTCGGCAAGGCAATTAGAAAGGCTAAAGCGAAAGCATGGGAGGAATTTGTTATAACCTTAAATGAAGACCCATGGGGCAGGCCATACAAGGCCGTGATGAACAAACTAAGAAGATGGGCTCCTTTTACCGAATCCCTAAATAGCGGGATCCTGGATCGAGTATTGTCGGGGCTCTTTCCAGGAGAAACAGAGGATAACTAGAGGGAACCAGAGCTGCCTAACGAGGGGGAATCGGCATGGAGAGAAGATCTAATAATCACCCAAGAGGAGCTTATGCTTGCGGCGAAGAAAATGAGAGAAAAAGACGCGGCCCCAGGGCCAAGCGGTATCCCAGCAAAAGCATGGGACTCAGCGACAAAGGATATGGCGAGAGAGTTGAGAGAACTCTACTCAGCATGCCTCAAAGCCGGTAGGTTTCCGAAAAAATGGAAAGAGGCTAAATTGGTACTTTTAAGAAAGCATAACAAGCCAGACGACCAGGCAGCCGGGTATCGCCCAGTATGCTTACTGGACGATGAGGCGAAGATGCTCGAGAGGATCATATCGGATAGAATAGTCTCCCACCTGGACACCGGAGGGCCGAACTTAAACCAAAGACAATTCGGCTTCAGGAGGGGCAGATCGACGATAGACGCAATCTCATTCGCTAAGGCTTTCATGGAGAATGCGTATGAAGAAGGCAAGGTAGTGATAGGAATATCTCTCGATATAAAAAATGCCTTCAATTCCATGCCATGGAGAGTAATTGGAAAGGCACTAAGCAAGCATAAAGTCCCGCTTTACCTGAGAAGGACCATAAGGGACTATTTAAAAGACAGGAAACTCTCGTTCCCAAGAAGTGATGGTACTATGAGCGAGAGAGGCGTTCAAAAAGGAGTCCCACAAGGCTCCATCCTGGGGCCATTATTATGGAACATCGGATTTGACGACGTTATGAGGAAAGACGATAACGAAATAGAAGGCTGCATAATATGTTATGCGGATGACACGCTAATCCTGGTATCAGGCGAGGACTGGGACGTCGCTACGATGGAAGCCAATTTTACAGCCAGCGCAGTGATCCAAAAGATCGAGGAGATGGGGCTAGAGATAGCCCCATCCAAGACCGAGATCGTAGGATTCCACTCGAAAGGGAGACCAGCGAGCTCCTCGATAAACATAGCAGGAACAGAGATCTCGATTGGCCAAAGGATGAAGTACCTAGGTTTAATACTAGATAGCAAATGGGCATTCACGGACCATTTCACGGACCTAGCGCCGAGACTGGAGGGATCAGCCCTCATACTTAGTAGGCTCTTACCAAATTTAGGGGGACCGAATGACAGGGTTAGGAAACTGTACACAAATGTGGTCAAATCCATAGCTTTATACGGAGCGCCAATATGGGCGTATCCGGTGCACAGAAATAGAAAGGCGATACAAATTTTAAGAGGGGCCCAACGCCGAATCACGGGTAGATTAATTAGAGCGTACAGAACAACGTCACACGCGGTGAACTCAGTTCTGGCAGGAGTCCCACCATGGGAATTGGAGGCAATTTCTTATGAAGAGATATATGAAAGGGTTACAATCCTGAAAGGAAGAGGAAACCCAGTCGACAAGAACGAAGTAGAATCGATCAAGGAATCTTCGAAGAGAAAGATGATCAAAAACTGGGAAGAATGGCTGAAAGAAACAACCCAGGTAGAAGACACTATCATCGGTGCAGTGGGGGGTCAGCTAAAGGAGTGGCTGAACGCAGGAGTGGGCCTCTCCTTCCGGACGACGCAGGTCCTCACGGGGCATGGATGCTTCGGGAGGTACTTGTGTCGGATCGGGAGGGAGGCCACAAACTAGAGATGGGCGATCTCAAACGATCTGAACGTGAATCGATATTTCGCCCCGATGTATCGATATTTTAAATCGGATTTTTGCTTGGCCGATTAATCAGGAGATCGAGCTTTTAAGCCTAAATTTCGATCTCGATCCACAATGGGTGATTGGTTCGTGACTTCTTAAGACCGTACTTAAGACGGTCTTGAATATAAGATCTAACTATAAGTCCGGATCTACAATAGGTGTTTTATGCCTTATGCGGTAAGAAACTGACCAATTACAGTCGAATCCGAGAAGAATAAGCGACTGTGATTCGCCCATTTCTTATGGCTTAAAGCTTAAAACCCTATTGTAGATCCGGGCCAATCCGGGGTAAGTATCGACCTTAGTATTATGACCACTCACTGAGCGCCCTAGTAGGACAGAGAAATTCTCGGATCTTTCTGTCCTGCAGCCAATCAACAGGCTTGAAAAGCTTTGTCGTACGACACATAAAATATC